TTTATCCCCGAATGCGTCTGCTAACAGTTATATCTAGATGATGATCTCGTTTCCCGTCGTCGATTGGGCCAGACGATGCTAACCCCGAAAATGGTCAGCGCAAGCGGAGAAGAGGGCGAGGCCAGCCTCGGATCGGCGTTCGATTACGCCCACCTGCGCGCTCCTCTCCCCAAGGGAATCGTGTCCGGCATCTTCAAGTCGAGCCCCAACAGCTACTTCTTGATGAGGCGAAGCTTTGACGGCTACATCTCTGCAACCGGCATGTTTAAGGCCACGTTTCCCTACGCCGAGGCTTCGGACGAGGAGATTGAGCGCAAATTCATCAAGTCTCTCCCTACTACGAGCCCCGAGGAGACTGCCGGCAACATCTGGATTCCTCCCGACCAAGCTCTGGCTCTCGGCGAGGAGTACAACATTGGTATCTGGGTCCGCGCTTTGCTTGACAACGCCGTCATCCACCCTACTAGCAACAACCCTGATTCTGCGCCTCCCAATATCACAGCACCTCCCAAGTTCGAGCCTGCTGCTGATACTCCCAAGACCGTTCTAGCTCCTCCCACTCCCAGCCGCTCTACCCGCTCTCGCAGGAGCGCTAGCCCAACAAAGAGCACGAGGCGATCCACTGCGTCGCCACGAAAGCGAACTGTTAGGGCCAAGGCTGAGATCCTGGAGGTTGTGAACGAGAAGGAGTCCCAAGTGAACGGAGATGCCAAGGGTACTAAGCACGAGGATATCGTCCTCAAGACAACTGAGTTCGACCCTCAGGTGACTCTGGAGCCCAGGGAGGAGGATCCCAAGCTCAAGATGCACATTGATGAGGAGGTCAAGAAGAACCGCAAGGGGGTCGAGACCAAGCACACAATTGCAGAGGTTGAGCTACCTCTACCTTCAGCCGGCGAACCGCCCAGTGCAGCAGAAATTGCCGCTATGATCCAATCCGCCAAGGAGATGGTTAAGGAGCAGAAGGAGGCACAGAAGCAGCCAGAGGACGAGCCCGTTGAAGAGAAGCCGGTCGAGGTCAAGGAAACTGGCAAGAAGTCCAAGCGCAAGGCAGTGGACATCTCGCTTGGAGATAAAGAAGAGGAGGAGAAGAAGAAGAAGAGCGAGCAGGCTGATGCCAAGAACGAGACCACGTCTGAAGAGACGGCGGTAAAGGATGAAGAGGAAGAGCCCAGAGCGAAGAAGGTCAAGACCGAAACTGAGCTCCGAAAAACACGCGTCAAGAACAGGGCTTTATTGGGTATCGGAGCCACAGTGGCAGTGGGGTAAGTCGAAGTCGAGTGCTGAAACCAGCGCATTTACTTCCATCTTGAATACCAGAACGGATTGCTGACCTACTAAATAGCGCTCTTGTGCCTTGGCTCACAAGCTTCCTGTAAAACAGGCTTCATAAAACAAAACTACGACTTTACTTTTACGGCATCTAAGAATGGAAGAAACATGAGAGACCGTGGTATTGTAGGAGATAGGGAGGATGCGGAGTAGAGAAGGAAGGCTTTGGAACGGCGCTTCATGTATTAGGATTTTGTCTTTTTGTTTTGTTGGCTTCGGTTTTTGTTTTATATTCCCATATCCCCACCCGGGGTGAGATCTTCCTTTCACTGCCCTCACCCTGGATATCATCCCTACACTTTTTTTAGTATTTATTTTTGTTGGACATACCCCTTCGCTATCACAACCCTCGACCGTCAGCACAGATGTTTGATCACACTCACCCTTTTTCTAACCCTAATCAACTCCCTCCTTTTAATTTAACGATCACCATTCCTGGATGAAACTGGAAGCCTTTTGAGGAAGGCCGCGGCCGTTGTCGCCTTCTTTTGTATTTGTGGAAGGACAGAGACTTCCAACGCTGAAAACTAGTTTCAGCAAGCCCATGGCCTGTCGGCTGAGGTCAAAGCGCAGAAGCGTGATAAAAAGAGCCACCATAGTCAGAAATTCTCTCTGAGAATGTAGTGAAAAGATTTTTTACTACTATTTATCCTGATGTCGGAACCCTGCTTGAAACTTGCCTGGACATTTTTGATGCTGTGAGAAATGAACGTTGCGGCTGGAGCGATTATCAATAGGTACAAATGGCACAACTAAGCACCCTCCATAAACAAATACGTGATCTTCTATCTTTCATACCTGATTGATAAAAGTGATATAATCTCTGCGTAGAATTAGTCACTTGTTTGGATATTTAGATATTTATTTGAGTCTTCATTTGGGGTGTCATTTCCTGTGTCACCCACCTGATACCCTAAGGAGAAGGTAGCATGTACTCTAGCTTCGTTCGCGATCTCACAATTCAGCTACCCTATAGCTGCCAAAGACCATCTCTTGTCCTATTCATGGAGCTTTATTTATTCTGTCCTGGTAGGAATTCTCATCGATGCCGTCAAAGAGTAATCATTTTTAAGAATCAATATAATCCTTTTTCTAGATTATTAGAGATCCTAAAACAACGTTGTCGATAGTCGTGATATCTTGGTCAGCACATGCTAAAAGGGTTTGTTCTCGAACTTAAGTATATTCCAAAGACTGATTTACAACTCCACTACGCCAAGCTCAACCGTCTCCAGCCGGCCACACGCACAAGCAGGTGTTGCATACATCGTTTTGCCGAGAATCCTGTTCTCTTGGACCACGATCCCAACACCCCCCGGCACCGTATCGTCGTACAAAAGCCCAGGGATTCTATAGACTTGTGCAGCATCTGGTTTCAGTTCCTCCCATGCGGTTATTCGAAAGATGGACCGCCGACCACAGATCTTGCAGCTTACTTGACCTATCCCCTCCATTGCTTTCCCATACTCCCGCAGGAACCAGCCTGCTTCCCCTGCTGCCATATCCAGGCGGGACTCCCTTGCATAACTTCCTCTCTTGTTTAGTTTTAAAAGTATAGTGATCTTCTTCACTATCTCTAATCTCTTAACGGTTGCTTTTTGTCCCACCTCGGCATCTAGAAAAGACCCGTATTCTTCTAGAAGATCTTGTATCTTGTGTAAGTCGTATATCTGGGCATGATCCTGTTCAGTGTCTTTCCAATTCATGTTGACCCCTTTCCTCTTGTCTAGCGGAAATATGCGGTCCATGGCCTCACAAAGAGCCTTGGGATCATGGCCTTGGGCTCGAACTGTTTTGGATAGGATGTGGTCAACGACCGATCGAGCTTCTCCCTCAAAGCCGAAGTATTCAAACCACTCAATGACACCCACCGTTTCGAGAGTCGGTTGGACCCTGCCATTTCTGATGATTGAATCATATGTCGCCTTCCGGTGACATCTACCCAAGTCCCAGACTTCCCAACCTGCTGTGGAGTATCCACGCAGCCATGGCGCACGGTCATCCCTTATCTCAGCTGAAGGCGGTATAAACAGCAGGGGCGAGTAGTCTCCGAGAAGTAGCGCATGCTTAGCGAGAGAAAGAAAGTACTGGAACCGGTCTTCGACGAGAATAAGAGGATCTTGCGTGGGAACAAAATCCAACATCTTCCCAAGGGCCAGGAAATAATCCCTGGACTGTCGACACTGCCGGTGGCCCAATATCCCAATAGCCCATCCAAGGGTCCGGTGCATTCCTTGTTCGTTCTTCCATGCTTCCATGTCTATCCATGAATTCATCCTTTTGAGGGTCGTGTTCTGTTTCCAGATCTCCTGTGTCACGTCAGAATTACCTCGCTTCTTCACCCATTTCGAATGTAGCCCGTCTAAACGGAGGCATAAGTCCCCCGCATTGGGTTCGCATATTTTGTAGTCCTCCGTAAGAATAATGACGTCTTTGCTGCGGATGTATTCCAGGGCAACCCACATGCGATCGAACCATCTTGATCGGATTATGGTTGTGAAGTCGACGATGAATCTATTATATGGCGAGATTTTGGCCTGATTAGTTATATGTACCGCTTTCACGTCATCCAAGTGAACGACAGTCTTTGTGGCGTAGTTGTATATTTCTGGAATAGCAAGCAGGAGCTGTTTCTGGATATCGGCGCGCCATTGCGGCACGCTTATGTAGTCATGCCATATCTCACAGTCTGGGGAATCCTCTGCGAGTGCGAGAAGAGTCCTGACCGGTGTCTGGTAAACGATTCGAGCAACATTGATGCTTTCAGTGCGAGTATCCTGTGCGGCTGCTACGCTCTCGTGCCATGCGTGCGAGATTGGAATATAGTTAACCTTGTTAATCTTGACACAGGAAAAATGTCGGTTAAATATCCGGAGGTCCCAGGGCGAGATGGGATCTTGGGCGATATCTATCACGGACGGCCGCAAGGGGCTGTTCCTCTCCAGCCCAACCGTCCGTATTGGAACATCCTTGCCGGGATGGAAAGGCTTCCCACAAGAGACGCAGCTGGAATCGAGGCCAGTGTTCCAGACGTATGCGAGAAAAGAACTCTGAGAGGCTGCTCGTGATTCGCTGCCGACGTGAAAACACACCGTAGGCTCTGACGACGTTTGGCTGGAGGTGCTTTTTTGGCGTTTCCTCTTTAAACCTGCACCACCTGATATTGAATGAGATGAATGTTTGTGGCCGGGAGTGCTTTCATTCATTTCGAGGGGAAAGGCCTCAGAAGAGGTTGTCCCTTACGATGACTTGAGGAACTGGCCTGGAGTTGGACGTCGACGTGCTTGGCAGGTTTGAGGTGGATGTAGCTCTCATATTCGACAGGGGTGCGATGCTTGCTGGTGGAGACCACAGGATGAAGAGTAGGTAGCTAAAGTACCTAACAACTTGATCATTGATAAATGTAGAAATCTGAATTACAAAATCCATTCTTAACTTGGATAATAGTATCCTATTTCCAACATGTTGTTTTCTAGGCAGGATTTAAAAATAGAGCAGATTGTTGATTACCTCACCCATTGTCAGGCGCAGAGGCTTGGTCGTGCTTGCCACAATGCGAGGTGCCACAATTTGAAGTCAGGCTTACGCCCAGTCTCCTCACTGCCATCCCCAGCAAAGTTCCGTCCCTGACTGGCATTTCCTGTCGAAGGGCTTCTTGATGCCGAAATATGTCGGAAAATGTCAACTTTGACGAGATATGGGAAGAGGCTATCGAAACCTATCATGCCACCACCAAACGCACGATTCCAGAGCGAGAGGTCTTTGGGCGGATCTGCGACCCAGAGGACTTACGGAAGTATCTGCAGGATCACCAGAGCCAGTTCAAGAGCTTCACAAGCAGCGATGAGAAGATTCTCAACGGAGTCAATGCCGCGATACGGCCCTTCATGAGGCTATCTGAGCGAACATCCACCTCTCATGCCGCCTCTCCGCTCTACCTTGCTTCTCCTATCATTGGGGCAACATGCTTCATGTTCCAAGCTGCTGGGGATATCGCCCAGTCATACAAGTGGATAGAAGAGCTATTCGGAAAACTGGAAGGATATGCAGACCGCCTTGATGAGTATATCAAAGGGGAAGTTTCTCCGGCACTCAAGAAGAACATCGTTAAGGTGTTTGCCTGCTTCTTGAAGATTCTAGCTTGCTCAGAAATGATCATGAAGACAAAAAAGCTGAAGAAATACACAAAGGCACTATTTCTCGGCCAAGATGAGAATATTACAAAAGCATTTGATGAACTGGACCGACTTTTTGCGGAGGAACATGGACTGGTTAACGCTATTGTGCTCGCAACATCCCAGCAAATCAAAGAAGATGGTCAGAAAATTCTACTGTCGTCTGAGGCAGCTCAGATGGAGATGCAGACCAAACAGTTACGAGAAGATATTATCCAGTGGTCCTCATCAACAAACTTCGCAGCAAAATACTATGACTATCTGGAAAAACGACAGCAAGACACTGGAACATGGTTTCTGGAAGACCCCAAATTCAAAGACTGGGTTGAGGGCCAAGGGAATAGCACCCTTTTTTGTTACGGGAGCCCAGGCGCCGGGAAGACAATCATGGCTACAACGGTAATTGACCACCTCGAGAGAACCAGGAAAAGCAGTACAACACCCGTGACTTATATCTACTGTAGCTACACAGATGGTATAAGCCAGACCCCCAGCACTCTGATTTCTGCAGTTCTTCAACAGCTTCTGCAATCTCGAGAATCTGTGCCACCTGCCGTCCTAGAGGTCTACGAGGACAAGAAAGAAGGCAGACCATTGTATCAAGACATGATGGATATGATGAAGGGTATGGTTCAGGAAAATGAAGTTTTCTATCTGGTGATTGATGCTTTGGACGAGGCCATGGACAAGCACGAGACATATGCAAAGCTTCTGAATGCAGTCGAAGAATTACAGGAAGAAGCGAATATGCGGGTTTTTATTACCTCTCGATCGATTCCAGAGATCACGGAGAGGTTTGAGCCGGAATCCATGCTGGAAATCCGGGCTAGCCGTGAGGATCTCCAGGAATACCTCGATCACGTGTCCTGGAGAGCTTGGATAAGAAGGGACGAGAACCTCATCACACAAATAAAAAACGGTGTGGTAGATGCAGCCGATGGAATGTAGGTCTTATCGAAGATAGAGCTCCGAGGGAAGTGCTAATCCAGTCCAAGGTTTCTCCTGGCTTGCCTATACGTCCAATGGCTTCAAGGCTTGACTCGGCGCAAAGAAATAATCAAATCACTGCAAGTCATATCCCACGACTCTCGGGAAAGCTCCGAGTTTGATCGAGTGTATGATCAAGCATACGCATTAACCATTCTGAGAATCGAAGGACAGTCGCCGGAGCAGATAAAATTGGCAAAACAAGCCATCTCTTGGATTACTTATGCTCAACGGCAGCTGAGTATTACAGAACTATGCAGTGCTCTTGCTATCGAGCTTGAGACGGATGACTTGGATGAGGACAATATCCCATCCATTGAGGAGATCATCTCGGTTTGTATGGGGCTCGTGGTGATTGATAAACATGGCGAGAATGTTCGTCTTGTGCATTACACCACACAGGAGTATTTGGAAAGAACACGCTGCAAGTGCATTCCAGAAGCAGAGAGTGAAATTGCGTCGATGTGCTTGACGTACTTGGCATATGATGCATTTCGAGATGGAGGTTACACCGTGGGGCGTGATATTGACGCCAGGATCCAGAATTATCCGCTGTTGCCATACTTGGCACAAAACTGGGCCATACACGTCCTAATGGCTGAAGGCCAGATGCTTCATCTTGCATTGCGTTTCCTGCAATGTGATGGTTCCGTCAATGCAGTTGCTCAAGTGGCAGAAAAGGCATCTCCGGACGGTAAGGTGGCTATGAATACCACGGCCTTGCATTTAACATCACGTTTTGGCTTGTATTTGCTATCCAGAGAACTCCTGTCATCTCGAACGGAGAGCAATGAAGACGATGAGGAGACGCACATTCCTCAGCTCAATGCGAAAGATGACCGCAGAAGGACGCCCCTCATGCTAGCAGCCCGCCATGGCCACTTGGCTATAGTCAAGCTACTTCTCAATGCTGGTGCTGATGTGAATGTACAAGGTGGGCCGAATGACAATGCACTTCTGTGTGCCTTGCAAGGAAATCACAGAGAAGTTGTCGATGTTTTGTTAAACCACAACGCCAACATTCATGCCGGCCACTACATGGCTAACTCAGCCCTCGCGACGGCTACGAATCATGGGAGTCCCGCCTTGCTGGCGAGATTGCTTGATATGGGTACGGGCGATCTCAACCTGGACTATGCTCTCTATCTTGCGGCGGAGCGCGGGAATCTCGAGATGGTTCAACTTCTGTTGGTCCGTGGGGCTGGACTGGAGCACGATGGTGCAGGCCCGGGTGCAACTCCCTTGATGATAGCCTCGCTACATAACCATGAGGCAATAGTGAAGGTGCTGATCAAGAAGGGTGCGAAATTCTACGTCAATGATGGACGCAGCGCGCTCACAGCAGCAACAATAGGCGGCCATCTGCACATAGTACGGCTCCTTCTCCAGTCGGGTGCACCAGTCAATGTCCATGGTGGGAAGGGCTACATTAGGCCTGCAATTGCTGAGGCATGTGTTCACGGGAGGAAAGAGATTCTTCAACTGCTTCTGCAGCATGGGCAAGGGGTCAACCATCACACATCCCCCCCTTTGGTTTATGCTTCCATGCACGGGAATATAGAAATTGCGCGCATGTTGCTTGTAAAAAATGCCGAGGTCAACGCCTTCGAGCCAGCATCAGGATGGAATGCTCTTATGGCCGCAGCGTCCAGCGGCCACCTTGAGTTAGTTGAATTGCTACTCAACCATGGCGCAGACATCAACCTCCAAGGGAAAGGTGGATCAAGCCCTCTTGGGATTGCGGCTAGACAAGGAAACGAGAAGATAATTGACCTGCTACTTGACCGAGGAGCCACGGTTGGATTTCCCATTATAAAAGCGGCAATATTAGGGGACCAAGTGCAGATCGCTGAGGAGTTGATCCGTATCGGCTCCGGATACGACCGCCAAGATGAAGCAATGGGGGAAATCCTGCAACTCGCCTGCCTGCAAGGCTTCAAGAGTCTCGCTCAAGCCCTAATACAGAACGGTGCAAACGTGAACTTCTCGGACTGGAATCGTCATGGAAGTGTTCTGCAAGCCTCTGCACAGCAAGACAATGAAGAGATCGTCCAAATGCTCATCGACAACGGTGCTTACATCAACTATGCAAGCGGAACGCTAGGAACAGCATTACATGTTGCCATCAACAATGGGCACGAGAATATCGTCATGCTGCTCATCAACCACGGCGCCGATGTCAACATCGAAGGAGGCAATTATTGCAGCACATTACAAGCCGCCAGCTTCTATGGGTATGAAGATATTGTTAGGTTACTGGTCGATCACGGTGCCGATGTCAACTCAAAAGGAGGCTGGCATGGAAGTGCTTTGCAGACAGCCAGCTCATTCGGATATGAGAATATCGCAGTTCTACTCATTAATCACGGCGCTCATGTGAATTCTGAAGGAGGCGAATTTGCCACCGCATTGCAAGCAGCTAGCTATTCTGGGCATGAGAGTATTGTTAGGTTACTGATCGATCACGGTGCCAATATCGATTCCCAAGGAGGAGAATATGGGAGTGCCTTGATAGCAGCATCTAAACAAGGCCATGATGGCATCGTCCAAACACTTATAGCAGCTGGCGCCGATGTAAACATCGATGGAGGCTCCCAGTTCGGGACTGCTCTGCAACGTGCATCTGGAAAAGGTCATCTCCAAATTGTTCAAAAACTCCTTGATGCAGGAGCTGATGTTGATTCTGATGGTGGAACCGACGGTACCGCGCTTCACGCTGCTGTGATGAAAGGGCACTGGAGGGTTGTAGATGCCCTACTAGAGGCGAATGCTAGCGCGAACAAAGCATATCCAGGAAGATATAAGTCACCTACCCCCCTCTACGCGGCAGCTAAACTAGGAGATAGGAAATTGGTTGAGCGTCTCCTTGCTCATGGAGCCGATGTTGATGCATGGAGCGTCAAGTATGGCACGGCACTAATCATTGCGTCTTCTAAAGGACATCTAGAGGTTGCTCAACTGCTCCTTGATGCTGGAGCTGACATTGACCTATACGGCCGCTTGGATGGCAGCGCACTCTACGAGGCATCAAGCAATGGTCATGACGTGGTGGTACGAAAACTCCTTGCCAAGGGTGCAAACGTCAACGCCGGGAATCCCTTCCTGGCTGCCCTTCAGGATGGCCACATAGGTATTGCTGAGCTACTACGGGGTCACGGCGCCAACATTGATGCTCCTTCAGGACACTGTTCTTCTGCCCTCAGCTGGGCATCTAGAGAGGGCAAAGCAAAGTTTGTGCGCACTTTGCTTGATTATGGCGCCGACCCAAACATGGCACGTGGAAAGTTCCCTAGACCTCTCCAAGCGGCGGCAGCCTATGGCCACGATCAGATTGTGGAGGTGTTGCTTGATCATGGCGCTCATATTGATGCAGATGAGAGCGACGAGGACCAAGACAGTGATGAACCAGAATACGATGAAGCAGAGGAGTTCTTACCACAGAAATCCCAGTTTTGGGACCGATACGAAACAGAACAAGGGGAGAAGCGTCGAGCCTCTGCCCTCTACAAGGCATCAAAGAACGGGATGCTGTCAACGGTACAGCTGCTAATCAAAAGGGGGGCGCGAGTGGATGCGCGCAGAGGCCGATTTGGAAGCGCCCTTCATGCAGCCCTCAACGGCGGCCATGGGCAGGTTGCTCATGAACTTCTAGACCAAGGTGCAGATCCCCACTTGCGAGGAAGGGTATTTGATACAGCTCTGGATGCCGCCTTATCAGCAGATGTTTCCTCCGTCGTGGAACGGTTGCTCAAGGACAGCTCGAGATGGAGTCCTATGGATCTTGGAAATGCTCTACGTCGTGCCTTAGGCAGAACGAATAAAGAAGTTGTGGAGCGGTTGCTTGATCTGGGTGCGAATGTATTCACCAACGGCTCAGATGATAGCAGCATGCTTTACTCTGTCTCCGCTGGCGATGCCCCGGAGGCCCTGAAGATACATTTTGCAAGCCTCCTGATTGAGAAGGAAGTCAATGTGGACGAGGGTGGCGAGCACGGGAGCCCTTTGCAAATGGCTTGCTACAAGCAACAGAAGAGTTTCGTGGAGTTCCTACTTAACATGGGCGCAGACCCTAATGTACAAGGTGGGAAATACGGAAACGCCCTGCAAGCTGTCGGGACGGCTCGTAGCTCTCGCATGAAGATTGCTGTGGACATTGCCATGCTGCTTATCGAAAAGGGGGCAAATGTGAATGCTAGGCACTGCGAATCAGGAACCGCACTCCAGGCAGCGGCTTTGTCTGGAAACAGAAACCTCATGCAACTCCTTCTACAACACGGGGCTGAAATCAACACGCATACTGGATTGTATGGGAATCCTCTCCAAGCAGCCGCTTGTTGCATGAATTCAAAGTACATTGAGTATCTAGTTGGAAAAGGGGCAGATGTCAACGCACAGGGCGGGCAATATGGCACGGCATTGCAGGCTCTCGTATCATCCAATGGCGATAATAGGCAAATGGTCAGGTTCCTGCTAGACCAAGGATCTGATGTCAATGCCAATGGCGGGGAGTACGGGAATGCCCTGCAAGCCGCGTGTTGCAATGGATGGACATCAAGATCAGGAGCCGTCACTGACATCGTCAACATGATTATTGACGCAGGGGCGGACGTCAACTCAGCAGGCGGATTATGTGGCAATGCTCTGCAAGCAGCTTCTTTTGCCGGCAAGGGCCAGCTTGTATCATTGTTGCTAGCCAGAGGAGCCAACGCTAATGCGCGAGGAGGTGAGTATGACACGGCTCTAAGAGCGGCTGTTATTGAAGGGCACAAAAATATTGTTTTGTTACTACTCAACAACGGGGCCGACGTGAACGCTGGCAGCGAAGAGAGCAACGCCATCCAGGCAGCAGCGGAACAGGGTTATGAAGGCATTGTCCGATTGCTTCTCGAAGGAGGTGCGGTGGTTCATGCTGATGGGGGTGCGATCAAGGCTGCTGAGAGGAAGGGCTATAAAAGAATTGTAGCCATGCTTCGCAAAGAAGCCAAGAGTTGAGGTAGGAATATAGTTGAATATTTGAACCATCTAGTGCCCCTTCAGCGGCCAAGTATGAATACTTGTGCATCATCGAATTCCGCTCAATCATTTTAGACGAAATGCTGCCGAAAGCCTGGATTCATATAGGTTAGGATGCAAAGTCTCGATAGGAGCCTTCTATGGAGACTGTTTTGTATATTTAGCTAAGATTGGATGAAATTGGGACTTGAAAGGATATAATCGTCTTTCGATCAACTGCACTCAGCAAAGGGTATTTCAACTATCCGTTCAGTTCGACCCGACTCATAAGACGAGGCTCATGAGGCACCTAGCCCGGACACTAATTCCTGGTCAGGCCTCCTGCCAATCCAAGTGGCGCACTCTCAAGATGCATCCCGAAGAGCTAAATTACACGAGGTTTATTTCTCCAGGTGACTGTCTGCCACGCGATTTCTCATGAGTCCCATATGCTCCTCTTGGAACCTGGTCGTGTTGGTCATATCAGAATCTCTAGCAGTCCTCACTGCTGGAAAAAGCGAGCGAAAACACAATCGGTGTTAGTTCAAGAGTTGTATCCTCGGAGACCATGCTGGCTAAATGTTCCTATTGCTGTACCTGCGCAGTTACGATGGCTGTCCTCGGCATTGTGTTTTGAGGACTTGTTGACACCGGCAGGCTGCTGAATGCGGGCCCGTTCTATTAGCCTTGAAACCTGAAAAATGATGGGTAATTCCGTCAGACGTTCTTCGCCGTAACCCCCTATTCTTTCCTAGATCCTGGATTGCTTGTGGTTTTGTTTTCCTCCTGTCGTACTTCCCCTTTTCGGTACCAGGAGGCAAAACGAATCCAATATGATGGCCAGGGATCACCGGAGCTGAGAGCCGAGCCTTATGATTTCGTCTTGGTATGGCTGGCTGAGAGAGCCTTTTCTACCTGGTTGGGGTCATGGCATCTTTTCGAGATGCCGACAAGTCTGCTTCAGCGGGTTTCTCTCTTCTGAGTGACGGGAGTTTGATCTTGCTACAGGCAACAACGCAGAGGCATGGGAGGCAAAAGATCATTGCGATGCTGGCTTGAATGTTCTCAACAGTGTCATGGGGAGTACGCCCATGTCCGTCCCAGATTGTCATGTTTAGTATCGAAAAGGAGCGAATGCCGGCTTGTGTCCCGTCGTTCTGGGATAGACAAGCCCGCTATGAAACAAAGGCTCTTATTCAACCCTGCAAGCCATTCGGCAACGAATTCATCGATGTACGTTCCAAAGCCAAGTACAATTGACAAGTCGCTAACTGAAGACGTGCCTAGCGCCTATTGAGTCAGGGGTATAGTCTCGTAGGACAGAAAAGCTACCTAGGTATTTTTTGGTTAGTTGATCTCAGCCACAGTGTCCTGTGGCTTAGTGAAGACCCCACTAGCCTACAAACTTTAAGCCACCTGGAGGTAGTTTTCCCCAACTCCCGACGCGCCCACGGCAGATTTCTCCGCATGGCATCCCCCAAAGCGTCGACACAGATCTGCTGGAATTGTCTCCCGCGCCCCGGTGGTTTGCATCGGTAATGGCCGGCATTTTCGGTTAAAGGCGTATGGCACCGGGCGCCCCGCATGCATCATAACATACCATCTGGGGAGGGCTACATTCCCCAGAGCTTGTCTGCGATGAAGCTGTTGTCGAGAGCACATCCGTCGTCGTATCCTACTGTCCAAGATGAGAGCATTTGTCGCAGCTCGCGTGGCTACAGCCGCTGCTCCTGTATCGCGCATAGCACAAAGAAGATGTTTCTCCTGCACGACCAGGCGATTGGACAATTACGGGTTCATCGGCCTGGGCCAGATGGTGGGTTATAGCTGATATCTTCAGGCTCATGGAAGTCTGGCTGACAATGCGATGACAGGGCTATCAAATGGCCAAGAACCTGCAATCCAAATTGAAGCCGAGCGACAAGGTGGCCATTTACGACATTAATGCAGACGCGGTGAAAGCTCTGGAGTTGGAGATGAAAGCTGCCAGTGGCGGTGCCACTGTAGAGGTCGCCTCCAGTGCGTTTGATGCTTCCAAGGATGCTGTAAGTTGAATAACACCATATGCTGCTTACCCTCCTTCTCCTTCTCATCGTACATGATGTTCTACATATCTATTGTTCTATCTCTGAATCACATTGGCCAGCCTGCTGGTCCTTGTCTGATTACATTTTTTCAAACACTCTGAATCTGCGATGCCTACATGCTTTGCCTCAATTTGCTTAAAATTGAATTCTCGTATTGCAAGCATAAGTCGCTAACGTCAGACGTTCATAGGATACCGTCATCACAGTGCTGCCTGAGCCACAGCATGTCCAAGGAGTCTACAAATCAATCCTGAGTCCCTCGCTCCCTAAAAAGGATCGCCTGTTCATTGATTGCTCTACAATTGACCCATCGACTTCTCGGCAGGTCGCCAAGACTGTCGCCGATGCTGGCCAAGGAACATTTACGGATGCGCCCATGTCGGGCGGCGTCGTCGGCGCCACAGCCGGTACTCTGACCTTCATGCTGGGCGCCGCACCGAGCCTCATGCCCCGTGTCGAGCCGATCCTGCTGCTGATGGGCCGCAAGGTCCTCCACTGCGGCGACCAGGGCGCCGGATTGTCTGCCAAGCTGGCGAACAACTACCTCCTGGCCTTGAACAACATCGCGACCGCCGAGGCGATGAACCTGGGCATGAAGTGGGGGCTGGATCCCAAGAAGCTCGCAGGCGTGATCAACGTGAGCACGGGTCGTTGCTGGCCTAGTGAGGTCAACAACCCGGTGCGCGGCGTCGTGGAGACTGCGCCCGCCGGGCGTGATTACAAGGGAGGCTTTGGCATCTCGCTCATGAAGAAGGATCTCCGTCTGGCCATGGTGGCGGCGAAGGAGGCTGGCGCGCAGATGAAGCTTGCGGACTCGGCGATGAAGGTTTACGAAGAGGCGGAAAAGGAGGACCGGTGCGCGGGGCGGGACTTTTCGGTTGTTTATAGACATCTCGGCGGTAAAGAGGAATAGATCCGGTCTGTTAGTATATCTAACAATGTTCATCTACAAGCTGTGCCAAAGGCATAGAACACTTTACTGCAATTCTGTAATTGCCGAGCAAGTTAAGGGGTACCATCCCCGAGTATACGGATAAAAGAGGCCGGACTTTCAAGTCAATGGTGCAGCTTTGATGTCCTTGAGTGTTGAAGATGGAGGCAAGCGGGCGATATTAAATCTGAGACACCCAAGCCTTATACTGCTTATCTATTTTCGAGTCTGCGATTAATATATATTTTCTGCTGACGTATTCTAGTCATCAAAGAAAGTGGTCGCCCTTCAATTTGATGTCACGTGAAGATGAACTGGTGCGTATTGGTCAAGGGAGGTTGTATCGTAAGCCTGGAATTACGCGCACAGAAACCAGAGGCACGGAAGAAGCTCCAATTGGCTGCGGATTTGATGCCCAGGACATACAATCAGTCCCTGGCGTCCGGCCTGGGCGGAAACAAGAGGATTCATCTCGAGGATGATGGATTGTTATTGTGGAGCAATCTGCTCTAGCACGAGCTAGCGTCAGCTATATACGCGTATCCGTATTCCAGAACATGCGAGAGGCCAGTGAGCGATACGCTCGATCCCGTATGTACACGTATTTGTAAGATACGCGTATTGTGCTTCCATCGACTGCGGTTCATGCCCCCACCCTCTCGGGTCCTCTCACGGGTTTCGGAGTTACGCTGCTAGGGGAGCATCGCAAAATAGACTCTGAGATAGAGTATCTGCACCAAGAGGCGGGACCTCGCGTGGCGTCCTCTCTTAGCAGAACGAAACGTGTATTTGCGCTCACAGCAAGTTGGCAGGCGTCCCGTCTGCCGAGTTTGTCGTGACTGTAGGCTCGATAAGCATTTAACTGGGACGCCTGACAAATGGGTGAGGGATCTGTGTTCCCGGAATCCTGCTGGAAATACCGGGGCACTGGGCGGAGTTCGTACGACCCCGGAACTCTCTTTTTCCCTTGAGAGATTAGGCTCGTTCGCTTACATCTGAACTGCGGCGGCCGCCTGCCCCAAACGTCGATGGTGCCGGGGTTTCATTCAATAGACGATAATATGGAGATGGGGAATCGTGGCATAGCTCTCACCACATAAGTACCTTGGAGCTCGTGTTTTCCCATCTCTTCTCCGCACCTGGTCCTTCTCCTCAATATGCCTTTTCGACTGACGCAACGTCCCTCGACCACCATCGGTTCATTGGCTTGAACGAAACAGAGGCCACGCATACTTATCGGAAGTGTACTGGAGTTCACATCGTGGGGTGCCATCGAGGAGGTATAGGCTATTATTGCCTGGTGGAACCAGAGCCGTCATTCTTATTGAGTTTCGACCGTCGCCATGTCATCAACGACAGAGCCCCCGAGAAGGGTGTCCTACAGCCTCTGCCATGAAGTCTCCCAGCTCTGCCCCGTCGAGGCCACGGTCCTGGGGTACTATCCGAACTTCGGTGTCAGCATCTTCTTCGCGGTTGCCTTTGGCCTCGCCATGATCGCATCCGGCGGCCTGGCAGTCACCAAGAAAACCTGGACCTACGGTTTTGCCACGACGGCTGGTCTTTTGCTCGAGGCGGCCGGTAAGTCCTCTTTGAGCCTCATTCTAGAACTCCCCCCTCACTAACATGGAAAAGGCCACATTGGTCGAGCTCTCCTCCACAAGAACCCCTGGAACAAGGACGCGTTCCAGCTCCAAATCTGCGCCATCATCATCGCCCCGACCCTGATCTGCGTCGCCATCTACGTCACCCTCAAGCACATCGCCCTCGCCCTCAACCCGGAGCTGTCGCGGATCCGGCCCCGCCTCTACCCCCTCATCTTCCTCCCCGCCGACCTCTCCTGCCTCGTCCTGCAGGCCATCGGCGGCGGGCTCGCGGCCTCGGGGAACAACAAGAAGCTCATCGACGGCGGCAACAACACCATCCTCGCCGGCATCGTCCTGCAGGTCGTCGTCCTCGCCGCCTTCGGTGTCATGGGCGTCGAC